TCTTGAATCCTTTGGAAAGCTTGTTGTCCTTCCTCGGTGGATGGTTGTGGCATCGTCGCCGCTTCTCTCATGGCCTCGGCCAAATTTTGCCCGCGTTAGAAAACACCGAAGCTGCTCACAGAATGTCGTTGTGGGCCTGGTGGCCCCGAGCTGCGTTCTGCTCTTGGAGCTGACATTGGAGTTTTCGATTCTCGTCTGCTAACATGTTGTTGTGATTGAGCAGGCAATCCCAAGCCTGCTGGCTGGTCTCATAGGGTGCTGTATAATCAAAATCGACATGATTGTGCGGGGAATGCTCAAGAGTGAGGTATCCGTTCCCTCGTAATCACTTGCGCCGAGATAGCAATTGCGTGTATGTAAGAAGATGTCATCATCGTCAGCGTTCAAATGGTCATCTCCGTATGGCTGGAAGCGATCGTAGAGAGAAAGGTGTGAAGCCGATTCATTAATGAGTCTAGTGGTGTTGATGATATTACGCCGACTGTTTTCATCAGAGTAGTCCGATCTTTCCAGGACGGTGCTACCCTGGCTGAGGTTGTGGATGGTGACTCCGACGAGATTCAAGTTGAAGTCATCATCGCTGCGACTCCAATCAGTTTGATGCGGGTTCTGTGAATCTTCTGTAAGGGACCCAAAAGATAGTGTGGTAGCTTGAAGAAGCTGGGTCTGGCGAGTCGTCGCCGCGTGTGTTGGTGCTCCCGAGAATCGAGAGCGAATCAGATTAGGTTCTACGTCCGTCGTCGGGACTGGATCCCTAATCTTGCGAAGGAAAAGATTAGCGTTGAGCCTAGGCTCTCGGCCGGGTTCAGCGAAAAGCTGACCATGGTAGGCTAGATGACGGGCGATGGCGAGCGGTCCTCTGTCCATGGCCTCCTCCGGTCCGACGACGAAAGCACGGATCTAGAAAGACCGTTCCTCCTCCCGTTCGGTCGGCTTAGGTTCCTACAGGCGCAGGTCCTCAAACCGGTTGGCGATGAAGTTGAACTTGCCGAAGACGATCCTCATGCCGGGCTGCATCTTCTCCAGTTCATCGCCGAAGTCGAAGACGATTGCCATCTGAAACACAAAAACAAATCTGAACACGAAAGACCCCTACCTAGCGCGCCAACTATCGGATTGTTTTGCTCCAGCAATATCTAGCAACGTGATCGCATAGACGGAATAAGATGGTAGCACACGAGACACAGATATTTATACTGGTTCGGGGCACGGTGCATGCTAATCCCTACTCTAGTGGTGCGACTGCTCTTGTATTCGTATGCTCAATTACAAGAGCTGTTGCTCCTAGCTACGTAGTAGATTGGAATAGGTGGAAGATGGATCCCGAGCCTGAGGTCTCTACCCTCCTTTATATAGGCAGGAGAGGTAGGGTTATAGAGAGGGCGATCGGGCTAAGAGATTGAGTTCCTAATTTGTTATATGATATGCGCAACAGATTGATCCTAGCTATCGTCTAGATATACCCACCTTGATTTGCCTTGATCTCCACGTTGGTCGATGGCGTCAACCCTTGCGGGCCTCCTCCTTAGCGGATGTTGGGCCATAGCCTGGACGGTGGTCACATATACGGGCGGTGCAGGTACCCTTGGCCCATATATCTGACATAACATGTCTGCGATGTCCATTGAAAAGACTTTGGGAGGCTGGTCCTCCATGTTAATAAGTTCGCCACCGGTGGGGGCCAACACATGGGATGTGTACACGTAGATCATGTAAAGACGGTGACCGTTGGGGGCAAGTGCGGCCATGGTGTCGTCGAACTCCGTCTGCCCATCATCAACATGGCTGATCATCGAGGATGACGACATGTCGCTCGAGGACACGTCGAACAAGGGTTCGAGCAGGTCGTCGCTCTAGCCGATGACGCGGCCGGACTGGGCGACGCGGAAGCGGTGGAGGCGTAGGTTGTGGAACGGCACGTCTATAGAGGTATAGCCAACGAGGACCGAGCACAGCGGGCGGTGGTGGTCGGTATTTGCCGCTGGTGGCATGCACACGTAGTCCTCGCCGCACGACGCGACGGACGCGGGATGCTTCTTCTTCTCATGTAATGTAAAGCAACCCCGGCAGCAGATCGCGAGAGTAATCTTTGGTCGCCGTCGTCCCCCACCGCACTACCTCCTCAATCACCACCGGTAGACGCCATGATCCTTTGATCTGCCATGCCGCACCTTGCTCTGTACCAAATCGATCTGCCCGGCGATATCTGTTCCTAAATAATAAATACAAGGATTCTCAATACTTCCTCGATCTCCACCAAATCGATCATCGGTAGGATAGAACGGCGGCTGCTTAAAATACGAGAGGGTTTAGTATAAAAAAATTACTAGAGTGTTCCCTTTTTTGTTTCTAAAAAAGTTTCACCTTTTTTCTCTATTTTGGGCATTTTTAAAATAGTGCTTTCAGGGCCTTTTTCATTACATGACAACTTTCCTCCTAGAGTAGAGACTTGATACATGAGAGAGTGAAATCGATCTTAGAGATCATAGCAACTAGCATTGATTAGAAGGCTTGCTTGTGGTGAAGTAGAGCTAGAGTAATTTGCTAACCCACCATCTTATTGTCTAATAAAGATGGCTCTGGTGCTTTGATAGGAATTTTTATAGACTATTCATCCCCTCTAGCCACTTAGATCCTATCAGTGTGGGGATTAGTGGTTCCAGACCTTCGAGTGGACCACCGGTTTTGCACCTATGGTCTAGCAATGGCCTATGCGTGTCCGATCTCATCGTAAAACCAGCTCTCCCCACTAGTGGAGCTCACAGGTGTGGGTCTCCATCGATTTTCCTAGCCATAACCCACCCCTTCATTGGGTATGGACCGGTGGGATATGAGCTCATCTTATCCCGATCCCATATCTGGTTCTTATCCCATTTCAGATATACAAACAAGGGTTATGCTATCCACCTTCCCTCGTTTTCCATTCCCACGGTCCTTTCTCGCGATCCAAATGCCACCTAACATTTTCATTGCTCCATCTAAGGCACATAGCTTGTCGTCGTTTCTTCGGGCCTATTTGGCATGACTTCGGCTCCACCAAAAACAACTCTGACTTTGGATCCGGCTCCTCTGAAGGAGTACATTTAGGCCAGGCTTAGTGGAGAGTTTCATGGAGTTATTTCCCAAACAACCATGTCATATAGAATAAAATAAAACATGGATGAAACATCATTGTCAATTGAGAGTTTTATTCTATAGTTTCATAAACAACTAATTTCATGACTCATAGAGAGTTGATAATCGTATCCAGAGAACTCATTTTCTCTCTCTCCTTCTTAAAAACCTTGCCACGTCATGAAAATCGCTTATGTGACCTGAGACTGGTCTTAGAACCGGAGTCTTTGCTATTTTGGTAAAAACAGCTTCGGCTGAAATATCTATAATATCCCTGTTATTTTATTTTATTTTTCTTTTTCTTTTTTTACTTATTTTGTTCTTCCCCTAGCCCATCGCTGTGGGGAGACGGGGATCCCGCGGCGCACCACGAACTCTTCTTTCTTCACCGCCGCCCCACCGCTCCCGCTCGGACTACCACCACCGCCCCACACCTCCCGTCGCGCCGCCGAGCGACGGCGCGCATCCGCCTCCTCCGCTCGGCCCCTCCCGCCCTGCCTCCCGCGCCATCTCGCCTCTCATCGCCGCCCCGCTTCTCTCCGTCGTTCCTGGCCGCCGGGCTTCTTCTCCATCGCTGGCTACGCGCGTGAGGAGGGAGGAGGAGCCGCAGCGCGTGGGTCCATGGGCAGCGGCGCCCATCCCGCGTGAGAAGGGAGAAGGAGACGGTGAGATCTACTTTTTTTCAGCTCCTCCATCTCTCCCAGCTCTCTGTCAGCGCGTTTTGCGGAGATTCGTCGGTAGCGACGGCGGGGCAGTCCCAGGCTCGGCGGCGGCGTCAGCGGCTCCCCCTCCCGCCTCTCGCCAGTCGCCTCGCGTCCTCGCCAACTGGAGCCAGCAGCCGCTGCTCCACCAAGGCGGTCGCGCCGCTTTGGGAGCGCTTATGCCCCAAAGCGAAGCGTTACCTGTCCGCTTAGCGCTTCAGCAAGCCATGGTTACTGGAAACCATTGTGTTTTCACTTCACCATTGATGTGCTGACTTCAATCACCAGGAAGCTGATGGTGTCCACTGTCCACCATTGCAAATCTAATCGAACTTAGTCAGTGATGCTATTTTGGTAAATACGTATTTGAGTTCTCCTGCATGACCACTTCGTGTGTAGTGAGGTCCTTTGAATTCCTAGAGTTTGTAATTCGGCTGCACATGAACTTGCCAGCCTTGGCTTGAGTTGGGACCTGGGTGAATCTTATGTCTGGACAAACCCCTTCCCAGAGTTTGTTAAACAGTTGGTAGCTCGTGATGCTGTCGAGCCCATTGGTTCAATAACAAGGTCCTAGAGCCAGCAATTAACTGGAAAAAAAACATATTTGAGTAGTCCATTCTGCAGGTGTAGCTAAAGATATCATCAGCATACAATGTAGGTTACTAAAGGATAACAAACTATATTGAAGTAACAACTTTTTTAACTATAAGATTTGAAGTCACACTTATTCTAGGCATGTTGGGTCTCCTGGAGAGGTGGTGCTATTGAGGCCTAGAGGGAGGCCTTTTGTCTCAACTTTTGATTTCAGGAAACTTAGCCCCCAAATCCATTAGCAAACTGATGATGTTACTACCGGAAACAGTAAACAGGACGTTGAGTTGCTATATAGATACAGTTTCTACACTCCAACACAAAGCAGATTGTCTAAACTAGTAACCAATAGGCAGGACACTAATCTAGTGTTTTTACTCTGCACGAATGATTGGTAGCCATAAACCCATTTCCTTGTATGGAATGAAACCTTCTTTTGTTCCTTTAATGACAACTTACTTTTGTTAATGCTGTGCAGGTCAGTACTTTTGCAGCTAAAGGGATAATTTGCATTTTTTGCTATCAAGTTGTTTGAAAGTTTTATATGATTCAGAGAAAAAACAGATATTCTTCAGCTAGTGGATCTGCTCATTGATGGAAGGCGACCAGATTTTGGTTCAGTCAGAGCAGAACCTTATACCAGGTGCGCAAACTCTTGTCATTGGTCAAGAGTTTGCAGATGTTGACACATGTCGGAGGGCTATCAAGGACATGGCCATTGCTTTGCACTATGAGCTCCGTGTGGTGAAATCTGATCGTAGCCGTTTCATCGCGAAGTGCTCAAAAGAAGGTTGCCCTTGGCGTGTGCACATCGCCAAGTGTCCCGGTGTTCCAACTTTCACTGTCCGGACTTTGCACGGAGAGCACAAATGTGAGGGTGTTCTGAACCTGCATCATCAGCAGGCTACTGTTGGTTGGGTTGCTAGGTCTGTCGAGGCAAGGCTCAGGGATAACCCACAGATTAAGCCAAAGGAGATACTGCAGGATATTCGAGAACAGCATGGGATCGCTGTTTCTTATATGCAGGCATGGCGTGGAAAGGAGAGAAGCATGACTGCAGTTAATGGTACCCTTGAGGATGGATACCGCCTTCTTCCTGCATATTGTGAGCAGATTGTTAAGACGAATCCTGGTAGCGTTGCAACATATAGAGGTATTGGACCAGGCAATGCCTTCCAGCGGCTGTTTGTCTCGTTTCGTGCATCCATTTATGGTTTCTTAAATGGGTGCAGGCCCCTTCTAGAAATTGACAAGGCTGACTTGAAGGGAAAGTATCTTGGGACATTGCTATGTGCGTCAGCTATTGATGCTGATCACATGATGTTCCCTCTAGCATTTGGTATTGTTGATTCTGAGAGCGATGATAACTGGAACTGGTTTATATCGGAATTGAGGAAGATGCTTGGAGTTAACACAGATAAGATGCCGGTCTTGACTATACTTTCTGAGAGAAAAAGGCAAGTGGTTGAAGCGGTTGGATCTAATTTCCCCTCTGCTTTTCATGGATTTTGCTTGAGATACGTGAGTGAGAATTTCCGTGATGAGTTCAAGAATACTAAACTGCTTAACCTTTTCTGGAGTGCTGTTTATGCTCTCACGGCATCAGAATTTGATGCAAAGGTAAATGAAATGATGCAAGTTCAAGATGTTATGCCATGGTTACAGCGTTTTCCGCCAAACCTGTGGGCAGTTTCTTACTTTCAGGGTATCAGATATGGCCATTTTAGTCTTGGGATAACTGAGATATTATTATATAACTTGTCCCTTGACTGTCATGAACTTCCCATTGTGCAAACCATCGAGCACATCAGGCATCAACTGACTTGCTGGTTTGCTGAACGTCAGAACTTGGCACAGTCATACAATTCGGTTCTTGTTCCGTCAGCTGAGAAACTTATTTCAGAAGCTATCCATGACTCACAATGCTATCAAGTCCTTCGAGCAAACAAGGTGGAGTTTGAGATTGTGTCATCGGAGCGGACAAACATTGTCGACACTCAAGCTAGGTCCTGCTCATGCCGCCGATGGCAAATTTACGGCATTCCATGTGCACATGCTGCTGCTGCACTGCTTTCATGTGGTGAAGACCCCTGTCTCTATGCTCATGACTGCTTCAGCGTAATGAAGTACCGAGAAACCTATTCCCAGCCAATATATCCAATTCCGGACAGGAGCCACTGGAACAAATCGTCTCCCGGGTTACAAGGTGTAGTCAGCAAGGCCGATGTGATCCTTAGCCCACCCAATATCCGGAGGCCTCCTGGTCGACCCAAGATGAAGATTCTAAAGATTGAGAGCATGAAGCGTCCGAAACGGATCGTTCAGTGTGGTCGATGTCATCTTCTAGGGCATTCTCAAAAGAAGTGCTCTTTGCGAATCTGATGCATATCCATTGATGTACACTGAACTTTGTTTTATTGACAATTTAGAAGTACTTCTGTAGTTCTGTATAGCTCTGCCTCTGAAATCATGTCGACGTTGAGCACTGTCTGTCTATACCAAAGTGTCTATAGGCAAACTGCCGTTTTTTATGTTTTTTGCAGTTATGGTTCTATCCTTCTATTTACGATCCAGGACCCCTGATCCAATTTAGAATTCAAGATTTTATTTTTCATGACTTCGATTTAAGGACAATTTGGCAGGGCTTCAACTTCTAAAAGGACTTTACCTCTGGCTCCTCTAGTGGAGCAGTTGTTTTTTTTTTTTGGGGGTTGAAGCTGTTTTATAAAACCTTGCCGAGTCTCTAAGGGTTTGTTTGGATGTCTATATATGGACTTCAATCCATGTGTATTGGAGTGCTTTGATATGAAATTTAATCACTTTAACACATGTAGATTGAGGTGAATGCATGGGCATCAAACGAGGCCAAAAGTGCCACTGAGTGGAGTGTGGAGCTGAAGAATGCAGCTGTTGTGTGACGAAGTACGTGCTTTGGATACACAAGGAAATAGAGAAAGTAGAACATGATTACATCACATGAGAAAGTCTGGACAGATAGGTTCACAGGAGTCAAAATTACAATAAGGTCAAGCAGAAACACCGGCGGCTGTTAGAAACCAGGTGTTCCCTTGAACCAATCAGGTCGTCTTCACTCGAGGAGCCTATGACCAGCCAAATACATAGTCGAGGATGTAGACGATGACCAGCGAGAACGGATAGAGCATGTAGGCGACGAGGCAGGTCCAGAGCGGGAACGTGGTCCGGAAGCTGGTGAAGAGGGCCATGACGACGCAGACCAGCAGGATGATGAGCACCTCCGATGAGAAGTCCCACGTCAGGTTCCTGAAGTAGATGAGCGCCAGGAACACACCGAGGCACAGCGTGTTGTTCATCGTCACGCCGCCATACACCTGCGAATCAAGAAGAAGCGTCGTAAAATGTCTCTTGCAGACGATGCATCAGTCGCCGTGTTTGTGTCAGTGGTAGTCTGGTACAAGTACAACAACGACCACATACCTCGGAGAAGGTCAGGGAGCAGGATCTCTGCTTCTTCCTGCTGGCGAAGATGACGGCGGAGACGGCCTCGCTGGAGTTGGTCGCAAGCGGTAGGGCGATGAACGAGATGAAGAATGACGGGATGTGCGTGGCGTTGGAGAAGTTGTGGACGGCATCCACGAGTGGGTCCGCGAACGCGGCCGCGATGGCGGCACCCAAGAGCAGCAGCGCCACAGCCTTGGTGATGCACCATCCGGGGTTCTCCACGCTCTCCACCGCCTCATCGGACCTGTCAATCAGCTGGTCGTGCTCCTGCCGTGTCCTCTGCATGATTCCATCCAATTCCATTCGCATCAGTGCTCTGCCGTGCCCAATTCCTAAGCTACTGGAGGCTGCAGGGCGAACAGATTACCTCATGGTATTCATTGAACTTGCTGGAGAAGGCGCCGCCCACGGGCATGTTGCGCTTGGCCTCGTTGAGCCATTTCTTCATCCCCTGCACAAACTCCTCCTCCTCAACGATATCATTGCGGGACGTATCAAAGTCGGCCATGACCTTGTCGACCGCATCCGTCCTGTCAAATTCAACCTCATCGAAGTTGATACCGACGATGAGAGCGTGGAGCTCGGCACGGGACAGGGAGCGGCTCTCGTCCATGTCGATCTTGTGGAACAGCCTGCGTGTCAGCACAAGACAAGGTTCATGACATTTGCATGAAACAGTTTGCTCCTAACTACCGTATACAACAAGGTGTTCAGAGGATCACACTTTCTGATGACGTCTTCATTGGGTGTGCCATCATCGTTTAGCAGACGACCAAGTGACTGCATTTGGGCGTGCTTCAGAATCCCAGAGATCACGTGCTTGTGCTTCGCATATGCAAGCTTCCTCCTCTGAATCCAAGGCTGGAAAACCTGGTGCATGATTTGAGGATCCAATTTCACGGTCAAAGTTACCCTCATAATCTAGAACTGTCAATCCTGTTACCGTCTCAGGAGGCTAATTGCCAGAATGTATTTTATTTACCTGGTACAGGCAGTAGGAAAGCACGAGCAAGAATGACACGATAAGGGCCAGCAACATAGCTAGGCGCTGCCCGTGGTGGGTCTTCAACATCTTTGGGAACTGTGCGATGATGAAGGGGATAACAGATAGCCCCATGATCCGCGCTGCATAGCTGGTCTGCACATCGGTTGTAATACCAGTGCCTGCCACCAATTTTGCTAGTCACTAAAAAAGGAAGCAAAACTAAACACAATTCTTCGAGGATTGGTGATTGACTATTTAGTTGTTATCTTTCGAAATGAACAACTGGTTCGTGGTTCACTGGCCTACTTCAAAATTACATGATAAACAACCATTAGACGGTCTCCATTCAAAACACTTTGCATAAGAGAAAGCATTATACCAGTCAAGCTGAAGCCCTTGGTGTCTGTTCCATCAACTGCCTCACGGTTTGGCCCAAGATCACACTTGCCAACAACGACACAGGTTCCCCAAAGCAGGGTGAGGAGGAAGACGGTGGAACCAGCAAGCAGCCCCATTCCGATATGTACCTGACTCTGTGCCTCCTCTTTACTCCCGGACAGGCCAGATACTGTAACGTGATCAACAAACAGATCAGGATAAACCTATTTTCGGGTAAACAGTAAACACATCAGAATTGTAGTTGGACGTGCAAGCACAGTGTGAATATACAACATTAGTTTCATGATTCAGTATATTGATGAAGAGAAATATGCTTGATCAATTGCAATAAACAAATTGAATTTTGCATCATACTATCACAGAAACAAAAACACATAGTAATTTACAAACATTTCTCCTACCACATTAGATTTTTCTTTTTTAAAGTGGCTGCAGGAGTAACAAACCATTTTGTTAACAGAGTAGGATGAAAATAAATATAACGAGTTTGTAGGCTACTGAGGTGTTCAAACCAGAATAATGATCTGATCACATGCGGTTGTTCTACAGCACAATAGTAAGGTGCAATGTCATATCCATAATTAAGTCTATGTAGGCATAAGGTGCTATGACATATCCATAATTAAGTCTATGCAGGCATAAGGTGCTATGACATATCCATAATTTAATTAAGCTTATGTAGGCCCATGCCACAAGATGGCAGATCGCATCGAGATCTGATCTACTGTGTTAGTATTATGATAACATCAGAAACTGCATCCGACTGTAGCAACGAAGTGGTACTCTTTTCTGAGTAAAGAGTAGTACATAACCTCCCCCAGATACAATTTCACAGCACAGGAAGCCTATGATTTCGTAAATACACACGTAATGCTTGCTGTAGTAAATAAAAAAAGGTCAATTATGCAAGGCAAATAAAAGTGAAAGGAAAGGGTTAAAGGTTAAAGGTCAAAAGGCTTTGATGGAGCTTTTAAAAAGCTAAAAACTAAACCAACTGATGAATTTCAGAAAAAAGCAGAGCGGTGGCCAGGCTTTATCCCTGGAATAATCAAAGGCTCCATAAAAGGGAATAACCCAAAAGCTTATACTCTGACCCAGACATCCAGTAACAAAGCAAATTAGACTGCTAGAAACATCAGATCTGAAGCAAAACAAATAGGAGTAGCAGAAAAGGCGTTAAAAAATGAAAGCGAAAGGATGTTTTGAATTCCCTCACTACGATTACTTTTGCCCTGCCAATCGCAAGAGCAGTTCAACGATCCTTTCTAAGTTGAAGTGCGAACAAAGCAAGCTCGGTGGAAACTAACGCTAGACTCGAGCCATGAGCTAGCTAGGAGCAGGCAACCGAATGCTTGGCGATTCATCAAAGCAAAGCACAGAATGAGGCAAGCAAAGGAAGGAAGCAAAGCGAAGGAAGGCGAGGAGGAGAGCGAACCGAGGACGAGGAGCGCGTCGGGGAGGGCGCCGAGGATGGGGAGGAGGAGGCCGCCGACGAGGCCGGGCCCCATGATCTCGAGCAGCAGCTCGCTCCCCGCCGACAGGTACGTGGCCGCCTTGTACATGAGGAACCCGTAGGTCAGCACCAGGAAGAGGTTGCCGAGCACGGTGGTGGTGCAGGGGAGGAAGCCGTAGGACTGCTCGCACTTCTCCTCGGCCGGCGGGGAGCCCGAGAGGCGGATCACCGAGAGGTGCGGCGCGGACGGGGCGCCGTCGGAGATGAGGCGGCCGTACGCGGCGGCCGCCAGGAGGGAGAGCAGGAGCGGGACCAGCGGGAAGCCGCGGCGGTGCTGCCGGCGAGTCGCCATTGCCGCTTGCGGTAGTGGTGAACCAGGAACAGGTGGGCTCCTTGCCTCCTCTGGTCTGGTGCGGAGGACGGGGCCGCGTAGCTTTATACGGCCGGGACTGCCGGATTCTTCTGCGGCCGATGGGGAGGATTGGATTGGAATCGGCTGTTGGCTTCGGGAAGGGGCAGTTGCCGACGGAATTGGCGCCGCCGGATTTCCCGTAGACGCTTTAGCGTAGGATAGTATTTCGTTTGTATTCGATAATAATTATCGTTAACTAATTAGGCTCAAAATATTCGTCTCGTAAAGTACAACCAAACTATGCAATTAGTTTTTGATTTCATCAACATTTAGTACTACATGCATGTATCGCAAGTTTATGTGACGGAGAATCTTCTTTTTGCATAGTGTCAAAGTTTGGATCTGAGGTGAACTAAACATGCCCAAGGTAGTATTTTCCAAAAAAATTTGCAAAATTTTTCAAGATTTCCTATCACATCGAATCTTTAGACGCATGCACGAATTATTAAATATAAATAAAAAATAAAACTAATTATACAGTTTTGACGAAATTCACGAGACGAATCTTTTAAGTCTAATTAGACTATAATTGAACACTGATTACAAAATAACAACAAAAAATTGTACAGTGGCCTTTTGCAAAAAAAATTCGGCATTTAAACACAAGCTAAAACTTTCAAGAAGCGGAGGCGACGTAACATTCTTTACGCCGT